TTCTCTCAGTCAGGTCCCAGACGTATAGCCGCATCGTCAAGTAAGTAACAACCTCACTTAATATATTCTACAGTTCCCGTTCGAAACAGAGGAGCCGCAGCTTAGCAGCATTTGGTGTTTCTGGAAAGCAGAGTGTTCTAGCGACTCGCTGCTATTACAGAGACATCAGATGCCCCTGCCCACTCTAATCACTCAGGTCGTGCGGGGTGTTTACACACTGCTGTACCAGGGTGCGAGAGATCTTTCCACTGCGGTATCGCTTTGACTTCCCTTCGCTCGGCATCCCAGGGCAAAGCCCACCGGTAGGCCACGCCCGGCTTTCGACACGTCTCCAACTACTCAGGTCATGCGGAGTGCTTACACGCTGCTGTACCAGGGTACGATAGATATCTCTGTGTTTGTCGCCTTTGCACCTTTTCGCCCAGCACCCTAGCTCAAAGCCCGATACCAGGCCACACCTGGCTTTACACATGGCTGATCTTCCAACTGCCATCTTACTCCCTTCCTCCATGAAGCCACTTTCCTCCAGCTTGCACTGCATTTGCATTCACGAACATGAGTTCTGAAGCTGTTGTGACATCGCCTATCCCTGTTCCCAATGCTGAGCGCGCTCACCAAGGCTGGAAAGTAAACCATCAGGGTGTATTCTATATTCATGCACTTGGGCCACCCACACAGGATGGCCCACTGCGTCCCGGTCGCTTTCTTTCAGGCGCGGAACGAATTGCGAAGGTGGAGGAGGTGATTAGTCCTGTTGTGGATCATTCACTGGATGGAACGTTTCAGAGATGTAAACTGGATCCATTGTACTCGACGCATTACTACCATGCTGTGTTTGATGTATATGTCCTTCCATCCTTAATCCTCATTCCCTGACCGTGGCTTCAAAACGCGATTAATTCATGTATACAAAACGACTCTGCACTCCTTCCTCCAGAATATAACCAATTTCCCCATGGAGCGCGATGGTATTTGCGGTGTTTTGTTCATCCTATGCCACCGCCTATACCATCGCCCAAGCCTATTCCCTTCGCATACCCTGATGGTAAAGCCGGCTGGACTGTAGGAAAGACTTTCGGAGAAGTCTTCCTCAAGAGGCTTGACCCATCCGAGTGGACGAAGTCTATGAGGAAGGCGACAATGGACAATGACCAGGGTATTGCGGAATGCATCTGCGTGCAGCACTACATAGAGAATATCGATTATGCAGCATCAGGATCGCTCGGCATATTGCATGAGATGGCCTCAATATTCGACGATACCCATTATCGCAACCGTTACAGGCCCGCCGGACCAACGTACCCTCCTGGGGCGGTTCAGTTCTTTTCTCTGTACACTTTGACACAGGATGGACATATCCTGCTGAGATTCCATGGTCATCCGTTCTGCCGCCCGGAGGATGATGATGGTGTTTCATCCGATCCAGAAGAGTTCCTTAGCGAGAACGACTGGGATGAAGAGGAGCCTTCTGCGTCAGCCTCAGAAAGGGATAATTCTCCTGTACTATCAACGTCACGCACCTCTCGCCTCCGCTCCCAGCACGGTGGAAGGCCTAGGGGGCGTTCGCCGCGTCCACAGGTCCCCCCTCAGAGGCCAAGCTCCGTTCACCAGTGGCGTCGACGAAGCTGTTCCCCTCACCAGCGCTCACCTGCACGAAGAAGAGGATCGCCTGGTCTCCCACCAGATTCGTACCATCGCTCTGAGGTGCGAGAGGGTGAGCAGCGTCCACTTCATCGAAGCTCCCGGCGTCCACGTCTGGTGTCTTCCAGATTGCCTTCACCCCACGAAGTCTCTCGTCCTTCTTCCCGTTTCACGCACCGTTCAGGATCCGGAACCTTTGCACGCCATCGCCATGGGCCTGAAAAGCCTCCATACGCTCCACCACGCCACCACGCCCCGCCTCCAGCCGTGGAAGGTCGATTCCACGAAGCCCGAATGCCATCGGCCCAAGCTTCCGTTCCCATTCCCCAATACCGACCAGAATTCCAGCCTTCTCGTTCACTTCCCTTGCCATCCTCTGCGGAGCCGCCAGCACCTCCGTATGACCCAGAACGTCGTCACCCTCCTCCATCCATGGAAGACGTTCGGTTCAGCGAAGCCCAAATCCCATCGGCCCATACCCCAGTCCCCATCTCGCAGTACCGTCCAGAATCCCTGCCCCATCGTCCACTCCCCCTGCCCTCCTCCTACGATCCACCGCCAAGACTAAGGGCGCCACCACCAGATATCGCACGCTTCATCTCAGTTGAACAGATCATGGCGCAGGACGGAGGAACAACGTCCTTGCTAAGAGATGCTATGGTTATTCGAGGTATGCATAGTATGTCTAGGAATGTTTTAATTGTTATTCTCACACAGTGTGATGTTTTCGCCAGGTGCGCCTCTTCGACCCGTTCAGCCACTTTCCCCCACCCCCGAGGCTGCAGCCCACGTTGAAAATTGGAGAACAGAATTATCCCGTAAGCTGATCGCTATCGCCTCATTCCCAGTCTAATACATAAAGGATGTCCTAGGTGGCACCGTGAAGCGCGCTTACCGTCAGACGCCGATTCATATCATGGCGGTGAACACCCATGCTATGTGCTCCTACGATGGATCGTACGCCTCATGGGTGAACGCCACCCCTTCAATGAGGACAAGTGTCCTTAACACCTCTCAAAGATATCGCGAGTTTGTGGACTTTGTCGAAGACCAGTCAGCTTCGACCCGCTCCGCCTGCACCTCCTGCTTATCGAATGCCATTCCCCTTTTCATTATATCCCATCGCCTATTCTTAATATTGACTTGCAACGTTCCCCTGACGGTTTGAATTGGCTCCCAACGTCTGAGTGGAGGGAGCGGATTATAGGCACGAACTCATTGCTGAAACAACTTCTTCGCCACGTTCGGACTACCGTTTCTCATCTCTGCCGCGCAGAAATCCTCCCTTCACATCGTGAAACTATGGCGATACTCAAGCATGAATCGGATGTCTACCTTGAGAAGCTGCTTCAATCCCGGATGATTGCGGAGTCCGAGAACTATCACCATGAAACGGTTGGTGAGATCGAACGTCGGATTGGAGAGCTACGAGGCTATCTTCGTTATTGCCTCCTCGTTTCCCTCGATGCATGCGCCATACTGGGTGGTATGGAACTTCCGACGTGGCCAATTCAAAAATTAGCCATTGGGACCATCTTCGACGGCTCGGATGGCACTCACACCGAGGTCCACGACTCCACCCTCAGTGCTTCTGCTCAGGCTTTTGCCCTCACTCTGGAACGGTGGGGAGTTCCTCATTGGAGGGTGGAATATGGTGAAAAACGCTTTGCAGTCTGTCGATCATGTTCACCGTTGCATGATCATGCAGCAGAACATGCCCTTCAACAGGAGATATGGAGCCGTGCTCAGGCCAAGGCTTCGAACGGCATCATGAAGGGGGATATCACTGTGGGATTTGACTTTGTTGTTACGGAAACCGTTACATGTTCCCGCCCACAGCAATTCCTGCTCGCAGCTCCACAAGATGATCCCCCTACTCAGCGCTTTGCCATGGAACAATGTCTGAAAGCACTTGCCCCTGAGGGGGATCCTACTCCGTTCAAAAACCTCTCTACCTTAATGAAGGGTGTGCTTCAAGGAGTCTGGCTGGATTTAAAATACGAGGAGGGCCTGCATTTGAGCACGACCTTGGAAGGGGCCAAATGGAAGAAAATGAGAGTACCATTCCCCATCGGTGTGCATGCTCCACTGATGGCGGCGTTTATCAAAATCCCTTTCTCGTACTACCAACCTCAACATCCCCTTCCGTTGTCGAATCAGTCCGTACCCTTTACTGGCACGTCCAGTGCTATTTCGTTGTCCGAGGCCGGCTCTGTTACCGCCACTGACACATGGCTAGGCATATCCATACACCTGTCAGGCCCTACACTGGAGCTACATCATGACTTGGAAGCGGTCAAGCAGCGGGGCATTCTTGCCTACCGAGAAGTGCGTGACCGCACGGTGAATCAGAAAGTGGACAGGTGGGACGGTTCGATGCACTGTCTTAACCTACTCTGCAAGACACAGGAGGAAGCCCAAAGCCTTAAGTGGTACCTCCAAGCAAGATTCCCTGACACCCTTCTCAGAGATATCAATATGCAGGATTATACCCCAAGCGGGTACATTGGCGTCTATGAGCTTGGATATACTGGTGAAGTCTTTTCTCATGGATTTGACAAAACTACAATCAAAACCCTACTGGATCACGCACCAGCCCCGCTCATCCCTCAGGGCCCCGACACATTACCATCCAAAGCAACAGAGCTATGGACACGCATGTATTCACAGGATCTCTTCGAATACAATCGCTTCCGGATTATGACGACGACAACCAGCCGAGGGCGTACGCCGTTCAATATGGTGGAGGTGACCTTCAAATGCGAAGTGTTAAAAAAAATATGCCTGCGTAGGCCATTCGAGTTAAGCGAAGAAGAGTACTTTGGCCTCCTTCATTTTTGTCTCATTCTCTGTCGCCTTCACCGCTTCAAACGCGCATTCCGCCAGCGGATCTACCCTGCCGAAGACTCTATTTACCCTCGTGTTGTCCGTTTCATTGCCGATTCTGGGAGGCAGCTTTTCGAGGGCATCGAATTCCGATCAACCGAGATGTTGAAGAGATCAGGAAACCCGCCTCAAGAAGAGTTTGAGTCCATTCGCTGGCAGCCAAAAACTGGTCTTTTTGCACTCAAAGTTGCAGAGAGCCCTCCTGCTCCCCCAAACAAGCCGACTCCAGAAGAGTTAAGCGGCAAGTAGTAGTTGGAGAGCATCACGCAATAGCTGTCTGTGACCGCTTTCCGTTCACTTTGTATATACTCTAGAATAATTTGTAGCATATAACTTCCCGATGTATTTTACGGTTGCTGAGCTTATGCCTTGCACTTGTGCCCAGCCCATAGGTTTAATAATGACGCGTGCAATATTTTCATTTTAAGATACCTACGTATCCTTCCAATGATCAGTTGTGATGTTTGGGTCACTCAACTGGGCAACATCTGTATCCACGTAGCTATCACATCCTCGTCGTCGTTCACTTCCAACTCGTCAAGCAGTTGGACCACCCTCCTGGCAACCTTTCCTACATCAGCCCCCCTGTCACGAAGCTCGTTTCCAACGGCGCTAATCATTCTCCAGTGTTGAGCGACATCTAAGACTTCAGGAGGTGGCTCCTTCTCGGTAACGTGCAGGGCAATGATGTCGATGTTGACTAGGAGTTCAACGTTTTCTTCCATTAGCGCCTTCAAACGAACCGCCGGCAACATTTTCGATGCAGCCCGCCACACTGAGTTTCGTGCACACCTGAACAAGGTGTCAAAGGTGGGAGGCTCACCGCTTAGGCTTGATACGGATGACGGTGCCTCCGACGGTGCCTGGGACGTTGGACCTTCGTTCACAGTGAGGTGCGTACTTCCATTAATCTTCAACACTGGTTGAACTTTGAGGGGAGTACTATGCGGTGTTGGATGGATGAGCCTAATTGGAGGGATGACCATTGGCGTATGTGATTCCGGAACGGCTTGCTCCATGAAGACGTCGTTTTCTGGGTCATCAGGGAGTTGCGGCCCACGCCCTTGCTGGAAGCCTGAGCGTACACCCGATGGGAACGTTGTCAGGTTTATTGCCTCTAACTTTACTGATGATGATGAAGACCCGCCCGGTTCAGGTGAGTTGCGAGGTGGTGTCTCGGGTACGATGCCATCGTCCTGTGGACCTTTCACCTCGTTCTCTGGTACCGCGGCTTCTTTCATTTGGTTGTGGCCCCCAGGTGTCACACGGGGAGGTTTTGCCTTCGTGAGGGTGTGTGCGCGAGTGGCTTTGGACTTCTTGCGTCGCTTGGAAGACGGGGATGATATTTGATTATCACCAACCGAATCTCCTTCCATCTCCACAGTTGGGGAGTTTGGCGTGCTGTCCTTACGTTTTTGGGTTCGTGCGGGGACGACTGCTGTCCTCGCAATTGCCCTCCTTGTCTCGTGTTCAGGCAATAGGTATTTCGTAATATTCCCTTTCGCATCTGGTACATAGTGTAGCACCTCACGCATCAGGTACTCGTCTGGTAAGCCCAAACCGGTGAGCTGTGTTTTTTTGAAGTTTCATTGACATTTTCCTCACCATCTGTCATTTGTTCCACCCTCAACGTCTGCTCCGGATCCTGGTGAGTGAGCTGCATTATACACCGTGCAGACTCGCGTGGGGTCCAATTGCACAGTAGTGACTTGTTCAAGCGTGGGACACCATGATGCCAACCAACAAAACGGAGACGATGCTCAAGCATGAATGAAAGTATGTTGGCGACTCTCCAGTTGTGCCCAAGCTCAGTTATCCCTGTTGCCTCCACTACAAGTAGATGTCAGATGAGCAATCAGACGGCACGGCAAAAGGACATACGAATGATTGCTTTAAGCCGCCCAGCACACTCAGTGCGGCGTTGGGGATGCGAGCCGTAGGTCTCGTCTGCAAAGGCGAGGCCTTCCTTCCTTTTTAATGCGGGTGTGTGGTAATCCACGTTGTTCGCATCGCCCTCAACCTCTGATTTGATGGCCGTGTTTCCCGTTCCATTTCCCAAATACCTGTCCAGATCATCGCTGAAATGGACACTTTGCTTCATGTGCATCACGACGGTCTTCATGAGGCTTGAGGCACCAAACACCTTGCTGGTAGATTTATCGGGGTTCGTAAATGCCCCAAGATGTTGAAGAAAGGTTCTGCGCCTATTTCAGCCAATGTGGGCTAGGAGACAAATTGCTCATACCTCTGTTTAATGGCGTCGGGTTGATATGGGCTGGAAGGATATGAGTAAGTTATTTGTGCCTTTCCTGCATAAACCTTGTACCTGAATGCCTTTATCCCGTCGTAGAAGTTCCTCATGGCTAAGGCACTATCCTCTGTGAGGGGTAGGCCCATAGCTTTGACCATTTCCGCAATCATTGGTGAGCTCGTAAATAGTCGAATCCCGAGGGGCAAGCTTGTCATCTGCTATGAACCCCACTAACGCCACCCCAACAGGATGAATGGAGCTGAGTGCAGCGAGCTATCAGCAAATTTTTCAGTACAATCGATTGCGATAGTTACTGGATTCTGTACTATACCTGAGCAGCATATTTTCCCGTTATTTTCTGCAACAGATAAAGGCCTTCATTTGGTTGAGCCTCCCTCTCGTCCTTCGATAAAACAAGGTCCCCGCAATGTATCAGAATTTTATCATAGAACACTTTTGCTTCTTCTGCCTGGTCAGGGTACTTCCTATCGATATCCTGTTGCTGTAATTTATGCAGGCATGCTGCTTCTTGACTGTCAATTCCAGCTAGGAAATGATTAGTTCCTAATATCTTGCGAGTATGTGGTTAACTTACGGTGAAGCTTAAGCCATGTTTGCCAAGCCGTTTGGCCCGCTTCAGTGGGATTGTGTAAATGGAACCTCTTCATGACTTCTTGGGGGACTTCCCCTTTTTCTGTGTGTAACCGGCAATGCAAGCTTCTAAAAAAACTGCAGGGGGTCCTTGAGTATTTCTAAACGGTGTAAGCAACAAAGACACCAACACACCTTCGAGGCTCAAATCATCCGTAACGAGTCCCTTCTCCAGTATATCGCCAATATCTCCGACTGTCTCAATAGATGAATGACCCCATATTTTCTGCACAATCCCCTTCACAATTTGATCGGGGGGGACAAGTGGTTGGAATTGTGGCCTGTCTTTGATGGAAGTATGTTGTGCAATAAGCTCTTTCAACTCTGCGAACGGGCCATCTGTAGCTCTGAGGAAGTTGTTGGCAGTGGAAGCCGTAGTCAACAAGGTCATGCCACTGGAGAAAGTGGCCTGAAGGGTCAGAATTGATGAGTCAAATGCATTTGAAGATGCGTTCTGTGGGAGGGAAGGCATTCTGGGGTGATTTCTTGTTCTACCAGTGATTTTTGGTTTGGGGGGAACGGAAAATTTTCCTCAAATTTGCATCCGAACTATCAATTTTGATCTAGCAACAAGCCTGAAGAGAGGAATTTGTATCTACGCCGTTTCACCAGCCTTTACCCCGTTCGACCCATGGTCTACATTGCAACCTTGTATCAGGTAGCAGACACAGAATTCAAACGGAAAATTGGACATTCAGACCCTTTCCTCAATGTTGCACATCTACACCCATCTGCAACCAACTACAGGCCGATTTCCCCTTTAGCACCCCATTTGACTTGTTCGCTGGTCCAACACAGTGTGCAAGAGCTCTAAGTGGTGCTCCGGAACATCGAGCAGGCCGCGATCGGAGCCGCTATTTGTATTGTAAGTACGGTCAGGGTTTCAATGTAAATAATCGGCATGTGAATGAAATGTCCCTGGATCTGAATCGTGTGTGTCGGCAGAGACAGTGGGGCCCAGGCCGCTTCCCTCAATAACCCAAACGGTGTAATCTGCGCAAGGTCTACGGAGGTCAGGTGTAGTGGGTGGTGGCAGTGCCACCCCTGTTTGACCACATGATTCATACCCCATCACTCCTATATCACGTGACCATATGCATTCCCCCCAAACGGGACATAGCCACCTGGTAACTGATTCCGGTTTCTCACAATTTGTATTGTCTGTGATGATAATACATACATATTTATAATTTCAATGGCAGCCGCCATCGGTGGTTCTTTACCCTAATGGTTACCCTAATGGTTAAGTTGGTTGGTCCATCCTGCTTTAAGGATTCCTGTTCGATGATGATTGATTCAGAGTTGTTTCTTTTTTGTCGTTGTTGTTGTCATTGTTTTTTTTTTCTTTGGCACCCGAGTATTTGGGTTGGGGGTTGAGTGTTGGGCCGGGGGGTTGGGTTGGGAGGTTGGGTCGGGTGGTTGGGTCGGGTGGTTGTGTGTTTGTGTCTATTCAATTTTGAATCGGTTGGGCGTTGGGTAGGGGGTTTGGGTGTTGGGTTAGGGGGTTGGGAAGGGTCGGGTTGGGCAGTTGTGTGTTTATGTGTCTATACAATTTTGAATTGGTTGGGCGTTGGGTCAGGGGGTGGTTGGGTGGTTGGGGGGGTTGAGAAGGTTGGGTCGTGGTTACGAACAATAGTCAACTTGACGCATTGCTTAGACTCATATTTACAATTTAAATACTCTGGTTGCTTTTGGAATCGTATTTTACATTTTCTTTTCGCATGCATGTGAGCGTTGCGGAACGTGCTGGGTGGGGCATTTAGGTTTAGTTAGGTCTTACTACTCTCTGCGGTTAATGACTTGCCTCTGTTTAGCGAGGTTGAAATTAATTTTAATTCAGAATAAGGCGTCGTATCTGCAAAAACGCTCGGAATTCATTAGGGTTCGATGCTCTGCATGCCCGGTGGACCTGAAACGATGTCAAAAACAATACGCGTGAACTATTCCGACGTGAGCGGATGGTCATTTGGCGTAAATTATTGCGTAAATTACGTGTGAACTGAAGAGATGTTGCATATTCTAAGAATGGCTCAGAAAAACCTGTTTTGAGATCAATTAGGGGGATTCCTTGAAATGCACTGCGTCTGATATGTGCGCGCGCAGGGACCGATATTATCTGGATCTAATTGGTCCCAGCTTGGATAATGTATGTGTTAAGTGCATAGCATAGAAAACCTGGACACCATATACTGACCAAGGGAAAACATGTGGTAGTTTCTCGGGGGTCAGTTCAGGGTAAGAGGTTTTAATCGTTTCCATCAAAGCATCGAACACCATCTAGCAAATATAGGTGATTGGCTGTTTGATATTGCGTCAAATGTGATGGTCTTAGATCTAGAACAAACCTTGTATCCATCTTTCGTGAGGTGTAGTCCATCGCTTAAGAAAGGAACAAGGCCTTCCTGTTTCTCGCTAGCTTTCTCCCAGAACAATGACCACACGTCCACGACAGGGAGATTGAGTTCCTCTCCCACCAATTTCACACCATCGACATATCTTTTGGTATGTTCTGGTGTTCGGTTCAAACCTTGGAGGAACTGAGTTGGATTCACAGGCGGGGGCGTTAGAAGAACGATACGAGTCCTAGGGGAATAATACGGAGATGTGGGCGACTGAACGATAGATGCCATTGTATGAATGTTTTCCATGTATTGATGAAACGAGACCTGTCCGAGGGAGATAACTATGAAACTGCTTGTTTACAAGGCAAGGCGGACTCACATGCTGCTTATCTCCCGGCAGTGCTGCATCGTTCGCCCCTGTTGTGTGCGCGATGAGCCATAAATAACGTGTGGGCCTGGAAAAATCAGCCACCTAGCCATATGGTAAGTAATCTAACGACTGGAAGCGAGGGCTGCTTTTCCCTCGGCGCAAAAATCTATGAACAGGGGTGGTCAATAGCCTCAGGAAATAACTCCCGTACGAACATGCTTGAATGCAGCTAGGCCCCACTCAGTATTATATCCACCTAATTAAAGTTAAGCATGCCTCCCGAATCAAGGAAGCACGCGTACTTAATCCACGATTGATAACATCGAGTTTTCTGTTATATTCAGCTACAAGAGATGGTAACCAGTAAGAATTCAGGCTTTCTCATGGATTGGGAATACACACCAGCAAGCAATTGTGCGAATCCTCCCTCACACCACCCACTTTGGGTAATAGAATCACCAAAGAGTAATATCGAGTCTTGAATATTTGCCGCCATCTACAGTGCCAGTCAGTACAGTCTAAGCGCCAAATTGGCACGTGACAGTCGAACTCGCAGCATTGCCGAGTTTTCCGTCTAATACAGTTCGTACTGGACGCGCACACTTAGGTGAATCCAGACAACACATCTTAGCTGTACACAGGAGACACAGACACACGTTAGACCGAGGCTCTACGGGCGGCTCATAGGGAAGCCCTCAGACTCGCGGACTTCCTGAAGAGATCCAGGGCGACGGAGAAGCACAGAGGGGGCGGAGAGACCCAGGATGAACGGAAAGGATGCCACGCGCGGTTGAGATAGTCTACTTCGACAGTACCAGCTCAACGTCACTTTATTTTCTATTTTCTTCTTTTCTCTCTTACAAGTTGGCCCACACCTTAGAACCCGCATCACGAAACCAACGGATGACATCCATCTTCATCACGGCTGGGAACACATCTGGAAAGCCGTGCAGGAAGACCTCAGATCCTGACAAGGGGCCGGAGCGCGTTTTGAGCGGAACGTGTTGTAAGACGAAAGTGGGTCCTTCCATAGGCGGAACGTAAAATCCCCGGGACACCGGCACCATGTGCTGCAGTCTGTTGCCTCCAACACCTCGCACTCCAAGCACTCATTGCTTTCCCATTGTTGACGGAGGACACTCTCAATTCTTGAGACGTAGGCCCAGAATGTAAGTAGCGCAAAACGGACTTTATTCTGCTCAGGACCTGGATAACTCCGGTGACTCCTCTCACGGCGAGGCTCTTGACTTGTTTGGAACCAACTTGCATGATTCGCGCCAGAGACAAGTGCTCTAAGGTGTCGCCGAACTACAGGGGCATTAAGTACATGAAGAAGTCACGTCGGAGATAACTCTGAGCATACCGAAAGTTCTTCGGCTGCCGGCTCGGGATGCCAGGACGCGCTAACGTATGTACACAGCACATATATGTCTCAAGAGTATGCGAGAAGAACCGGCGACGGTGCTGATGCAATATCTCCGAGATCATAATACTCGGGGATGGGGTGTGCGAATATGGGTGATAATCATATAGGATTCGTTTTCTGAAGCCTCTTGCATGCCTTGATACATAGTGGAAAGATTCAATACACCTACATGACAACTTCAAGGGAAGATCGGCGATGTACATAACTCCACATGCATGTGCATCTGAGCGTACCTCTGTGTATATATGCATGTCACTGGGGGTCGGTCAAAGTAGAGTTAGAGCCTGCGGGTAATTCGGTGTGTGCAGTAGTGCCCAGCGCACCGGGAACGTATCTCCACGGTGCAGGAGCCATGCATGCATGACGCACAATTAAATGTGTAAGACCCAGCTGTCCTTGCTCCCAGGCTCGATCTGTTGTACTCGGAGATGTCGCACAACCTGCAGGGTATTCGGTTGGGATGGCCACCATGCAATCTGACAGTCGCATCACTTGTGAGCAAACGGACAGCACAAGAGAATTAGCGGGACTTCAAATTTTTTGAGATAACCCGGTTAATCTCGTACCTCGATTAAATCCCAATCAATTATGCTTCTAGGCTCATTGACTGTTTGTGCGCTAATCAGTAATTATGTCTGTGACCTCAAAGTTCGGATCGAAATGCAGTAGCTTGACCAACTGAGCTGCTATCATCGATAGGACATTTCTTATATATATGGCCTCGAATGGTAAAGATAGGCGATATGCTGGGTTGAGATCCTGTGCGCAGATCTGAAGTAGCGTCAATTGCTGCTTCGCCCTGGTCTACAGCCGAGCGTTGGGACCTTCCTTGGCACAGGGAGGACGTCAAAAGTGAAGGAAATGAATAAGTTTGGTTCGTTGTTCGGATTAGCTGTACCCTGCGACCCTGGCTGGCCGTTTCTCAGCCCCTATCCCTCGCTTTTCGAAGCAACCTTCAGCGAAGCGAGATATTTCATTCCTGCAATGCCGAACCATTGGCTACGACGCCGTGAATTCCTCTGACTGAATACAGTGAAATAATACACCTCTTGATGACAAACATCACAAATCGGGCCATACACAAATAACACAGTTTCACAGGTACTCGAACATTTGAACTCGGAGCTCAGAAGGGTAGCGTCGTGCCATCGTAGACCCAGAACTTTCTTGCTGTCTCCTTTGTTCCATTAGTGACATCCTGAAGGACTTTTAACATGCCCTCGACTGATTCGGTGGTCTCTATTTGGGCGTCTGGACCGCCAAGATCTAACGACAACGATTCATTAGCCAAGAGTGCTGGTCAACAGTTCAAGGGAACCCGCCTGTCTTCACCCAACCGGGATGTATGTTAACAACTTTCATAGCAGGATAGGTTTGCTGCATCTTCGCCGACTGAAAAACCAATAGGTCAGACGTGGATCGATGTGCGATTTGGTGAAAACCACAAACGAGCATGTTGACGGCCGATTTGGCCATCGAATAAGAAAGATAAATGTCATTCCATGCGGTAGTGACCGAGCCGAGGTTCGACGAAAAGTTGACGTAAACTTTTTCCCTGCTCTTCGATACAAGTGGTATGAAATGCGTAGCGACGAGGGTAGGCCCGGCAACACATGTTTTGAATATTGACATGCATTCATCGAAGTTCCAGTTCGTCAAGTTATCGTTAAGAATCTGAAAAAATAGACTCAGCACTGGCGAGTAGTGAAAAACTGAGGGGGAAACTAACGATAGCAGCGTTACTGAGGAGATAATCAATTCCTCTCTCCCCGACGATCGCCTCCGTGTCGCGGACGGCACGTTTCACGCTCTCTTCATCAATGATATCGAGCTGCAGGATGTGGGTCTTAGCCTTGAAAGTGTGGAGAGTCCTTTCGAGCTGATCGGCCGAGCGGGGTGAGCGGCATGTGGCAATGAGAATGTCTTCTCCCGAGAGTCGAGTGCTTAACTGGCGGATACACTCAAGTCCGATACCGCGCGAGCAGCTTGGGTAAGGGGAGGGTGACTCAGCGCGCACTCACGTAAAAACACGACACTGCCCATCTTACCCAGTGATGAGCCAAGTAGAGGCCTTTGTCTGTTCCTCGCAGGAGGCCATTAAAGCTGACGATGAAGCTGTGAGGAGATAAGGAGGGGGAAAGATATTGACCTCAAAGAATCCCATGCCATTTTATAGATGGATTCAATGGCGGTACAATGGCAAAGTTAGGGTCCCCCGCAAATGGCCAAAGCGTTTCGCACCAAAAAAAAATTCTTGACTTGAAGAGCGGAGACCGCTGCACAGCCACATAAGGTAAATGATTTTGACCACAAGCGCTTTGCGGGATTCAGATCGCCGCTTACAACTTTCTCCTACCCGTTCATTCCCGGGATCGTATCTTCCGTTTCGGTTGTTGGGCTGTCGAAATCCCCCAGCATCTTTTCTCCTTGTGACCCACCTGCGATCACTTCTTACAGGGTAGAACCATCATCCCAATACAAACGCTGAGTATTAAGTGTGGAGCTTCTCATTTTCGAGTCGAGGGAAGGGGAGGTGTTCCCGATGTTGGCATCCAAGCGCACAAACATCAATTTTCGAATAACTAAACGGACAGGACACAGGAAATCCCCCGTCCCAACCCCAAATGACATGGCGCGGAGGACAGGCCGATTCCTGATCTTTGGGTCTCGACTAGGGACACATAAAGGAGCTCATCAGGACAGCCTAAAGGAGATGGTCCGGGTCCCCGGGTGGTGGTGTAACTAGGCGGGGAAACTTTTGGTTGCTAAGCTCTTATGCGGTGGAATAGTTTTAGGTCATGAGAATCGTAATGGTACAGACAGGCAAGCAATGCTCAACTTGTGGTAATAGTAGAGAGTGCAGAACGTTAGCAACAGACAGCCTATCACATACGCTGGATCCGGTTGCACGCTCTGAAGTCGGAGTAAAGGAAAGAGGACGCCAGTAACGCCAGTAATCAGCAGGCATATATGCATTAGAGGAGGACTTGAGCGGGACAAGATGATGACATGACACAGTGGACCTATGCCGTGTGCCCCAATCCAGCTGCATGGAGGAAGTAGAAACCTGTGGTCGAACGGGAGAAATGCCATTGTTATTCAGGGAGGGTACAACGGCAGAGGGTTGGTATCTGAAGTTGATATTCGGGATCCGAGTGAGATAATAATCAAGTATGACAACACCCACCTCGAATTAAAACCATCCAAAGGAAGGCCATGATTTGGGTGTTGTAGTACATGACGATATGAGGTAAACCTGCATGACCAGTGCACGAATCCCGCCGCATGAACGACATTACACCAGTGATTGCAACCAAAGAACTTCATTCCTCCTCGACATGGTTGGGAGATGGATGAGGACATGAGCGTGCAAGGTAATGGCCCAATCCAGCCCAACCCAAATGGGCGATGACATCAGAGAGCGCAACTCAAACAGGTGAAGAAGTAAGGGTCATCACCCAATGGGAGTGTGCGTCAATCGGTGCCCGGTCGGCGGAGCGTGCCCGCGCACACATTGCTCATTACTTTACAGTAATTCGGAGACGAAGAGCATTCAATATAGGTTGATGTGTCACAATTAGGAATGAATACAGTGACTGCGAAAATTGAATCGGCAAGACGACCAGCCACGCTGGCGATTGTTTAGCAAGCATGCATCCTGTAGATCGTGTTGATTATGTGACGCTACAAGAGAAGAGACGTTACAACACAAGAATCGAGAAGCGATAGGTTGCATGAGTTAGAGTTCGCAAGCTGCGGGTTTGTTCATCCCAAGCAAAACCATCTGGAAGCAATCGATTGAGATGCACTCGGCCAACTCCGGTGGAGCGCTTGTGTTAGTCGCGGGATTTTTTGACGGGATTGATGGAACCCTGATCTTAGAGGAACATGTATTGACTTCAATGGTTGGGAGATTCTTCGCGTTTTGCTATCAAGTTGCAAGAACTCAAGTGGGAATTTCAATCGTGGCATTCGCACGTTGCTTACGTAATCAAATCAAATCATGGCCACACGCTTGCTGCGTTGAGGGAGGTTGGATTACCCCTGCAGTAAGCTTAAGCGCCTGATTCTGTGAAAGCACCTGGTTTCAGGGCTGAACTGTGACCGATGCCGGCCGCTGCAATGGCTGAGCCAGGCGTACGGAATGAAGCATTATTGTCGCCCCCTTCACTCCCGCCTAAATCCCCTCTAAGGACGTTACGGAGTACAGCAAGTCTGAATGGTACCCAGGCAACTTCGATAGGCCCTGGGACTCCCTCTCGTGGCCAGTCGATCTCCGCTGTCCTTGTCTCTTCACATGCCGGACCTATCCCTCCTTCCGGCGCTACCTCCTCAGTACGATATTCTCCCCCTTCCCCATCTTCGAAGGATCCTGCGGTATCTACCCCAAGACGCGCGTCAGCTACATCATCAATGCAGTCGACGATAACTACTTCAAGTGGCTACGACTCTGCGTTGTCTAGTCATGACATCCCACCCGTCCCCACTTCGTCTTCATTAGTTATCATTTCGGCTTCAGGTGTTCGATCAACATCTGAGCATGACTCACAGCTAGCACTTTCTCAACGACGGCATGCTATGATAGAGCTCCTAACATCCGAGCAGGCGTATGCAAGTGACCTGGCACTGATGCGACACATTTACATCCCGTTGGCACTCGGTCTCCCAGCCAGTATTCAGATCCCGTCATCTGAGCCACTTTCTGTTGGCCAACCACATTCCAATGCCACCCGCGACACATCATCCACTAAAAATGAAACACAGAAACCTCCAATGACACCAGAGGACGTTCGGATAATATTCACAAACACAGAGGAAATGGCAGCTTTTTCCGATGGCTTTTCGGAGCGCATAGAAAGTGCAATTCGGAATATTCTTGATGAGAAAGAAACAGACGTCGACTTAGAGCGCCATAGAATGGATGATCTTGGGGCATTGTTTTTGGAGGTGGTAAGCATCAACTAGCTTCGGAATTGACGGCCCTTAAATCTGGTCTAGGCACCGATAATAAAGAAGCTATATACCACATACATCACCCGGCATCCGCTTGCAATATCGCGTCTCGAACTGTTGATGGCTCCGATAGCTTCCAATTCCTCCCCAAGCCCCATTCCTGGTTCTTTCGGAAAGGCTGATCGCCCATATGGCATGACTACTGACATGAAAGCCTATTTGGCGAAGACCCGAGCATTGACCGAACGACATACTCATGCATGGGACTTACCTTCTCTTCTAATTAAAGTAGGAGCCTCACTACCCTGATATTTAATGGTACTCATGGTGCTGTTCATAGCCCGTACAACGTCTCCTGAAATACCCATTACTCCTCCACGCAATTATCCAATCAACAGAACGGATTATCCCCCACCATCCAGACTTGCCTTCGCTCATGCGGGCAAAAGGTGTGATGGAAAGGGTTGCTCGAGATGTGAATGAGGCCCGTCGGCGATGGGAAGTGGTCAAGGTAGTTTTGGAAGCTTACGGATTCGGAGCTGCACCCCTGCCACCCCCTGCGCCGTCGCCTCCTCCAGCGAGTACTCATACAGATGGGAATACCGGCTCAGGATTGATGTCATTTGCGCGGAACTTAGCTAGTGGGAAGGGCACACCGAAGAGGCCGAAGAGCTCGGGAGTTGGAGCGAGCCGTGCCTCTCCCGCTCCTGGGACGGAGGATGTCATTCAGAATCCTTTGACAAGGATTCAAAGTCTGAAAACGAAGCTGAAGACAAACTTTTCAATGTCAGTACCCATTCCGAGGCACCTGCGCTGTACATGCTGCTGACACGACTGAATTTAGAACTCCTACTTCTCCTGCTGCCGCTGAGGAGATTCGAATTGCTATTGATGAGTAAGTTCTTCCAATAGAACCCGCGTATAGAAGTCAATAATGTTATTAGACTTACTGGCTGGGAAGATAGGATGAAGCTCGCCGAAATAACGTTACGGGGCTTTTTCAAGTGTTTGGTGGTAGATTGGGCCCGCAGTGTGCGTGACGCGTTCACTTCCCTCGGCGCCTGGGGCGTGGGGTTTAGTGCTGTCATTGGTGATATAAGTCTGGGGAACGCTGGGAAATCTGACGATGCCCTAAAAAGCTTCGTCGAGATGATGAGGGGGTTAATAGCCCTTTGGCAAGACCTGGTGAATAGGCCAGTTTTGGTTCTTGTTATTAGGTTGGGGGCTGACATTGTTGCAGGACTTGACTCTACAATCTTCGATGCAACCCACCCTGACCACACTGATCGGTTCGCTCTCACGGCCGCTTACACTCGTTCGACATTGCATTGCTCTTCATCCTCTACACGTCCAGCACCTATGTACACCTTACTCGAAGAATAGATCTCCATATCTCCTCGCATCCTCAAAGACATTTTTGGCGCTCCAAGCACAGCTTCGCGCCGAGATGCCGATCTTCCTAGATTTATTCGACCGTGGCTTCGCAGGAATAGTTCTCAAAGCGTCCAAGATTCAGGCTAGATTTTGGGAAGAATGCTGGACTCGGTGGTCGTTGTTTGCCCTTGGAGCAGGCGTTTCTGGGGGAATGAGACTACCTTCAGGTGTTATACCCGAAACACCGGATCGGAACAACACTTCGGGTCCTTCCACATCACCAGAAGTGACCACATCCTCAACCGTGGCGCCAATGGCATCAAACATAGCCACAGTTGATGGAAATGAGCATGAAATCTCCAGGTTGTTCCGGGAACGATGGGAAGGCGTTGATTTCGCAATCAATGGCTTTAGCATCGTTAGAAAGATCGTTGGAACGCGAATATCGGGTGCCAGCTCGTCTCTCGACCCTCATGTACCTGTGGTTCGATCATCAGCCACTTCATCTCTTATTGCAGCTTTATCGAACGAAGCACTTGGTGCCCTTGCCTCCCCGGTACCAACTCCAGGTGGATCATCCTCTTCATCTCATAAGCGGAGCCGAAGCAATACGGCTTCCTCTCATAAGGGATTGGATGGGGCCAGCACAGGAAGCTCGATGCTGTCTTCTTCTATGAGCCCACATCCGCATTGGGATGCCACCGCGGCCTTACATGCACCCACCAGCGTGAATGGACCTCCACTCACACCCCTGGAGCGAGAGCGGAAAGAGCAGAAGAGGCGCGAAAAGGCCGACAAAGCTGCAGCAATCAAACTTTCCCAGGACCGTGCAAAGGCCGAGAAAGAGCGCCAGAAACAGGAGCAAAAGAAGACGAAAACCAAGGACAGAGAATTACCAGTGTCTGTTGGTATTGGTGGTCCCATGTTTGCTTCGAGTTTTGCACGGCCGGCGGAAGAAAAAAAGCAGGTTGAACCAACAGAGCATGTCATTGAAACGTCTCGTCGACCGGGGGATGGTAGGGACCAAAACAATGTGGCTAAAAGGGCAAAAGACATGCTCCACGGATTCATGCCTATCAATGTGCCTGATACGACGCCATCTCTACCAACTCTCGATTCGATGTCCCCGCTTTCCCCATCTCCCCCTGGGTCATACCCTATGTGGCGACGACCCCCTGCTATCCAAGTGCACCCGTATGGCCATGAACCTAAGCTCTCGAGCCCTCGGGCGCCAGTTTCCCATGGCCCCGGCACGTGGGAATCACTATTCGACGCTTCTCAACAGACTTATTTGTTCCACGATCAAACAGAAGATTATTTTTCCCGAGATATCTCAACCAAATTTTACCCAGACTATCCGTCTGCGTCATCTTCCCGCCGCATTCACTCTGTTTCCTCAAACCCGGAGTCTGAACGCCTCCGCATGTCACCCTCATACCAAGGCGAAAATAGCCAGATCCCACTAGCGCTTAGCGTCACTCCTGGGGAGCCGCCTGGTGCAGAGCCAAACGGTGATCCAGATCCCCCAGTGGCAGAGCACGAGACCTTGTATATCGTTTCCTGCGTCCATCCATTCCGACCACCAGAAGGCGTTACCCACCTCGATCTCCCCTTCCTATCCCTGGATGTTGGTGATGTCGTCGACATTCTCCTCGAGGATGGACACCCATCTACGCACGAAAATCTTCCGATCTATGTGGATGAAGGCGACGATTGTATGCTCGTTGGGCGAGACGAGCAAGACAGGATTGGATGGTGTCTTGCATCATTTGTTATGCCGCTCATGTAACTATGTGCATTTTCCACTCATTCTCAGATGAGGAAGACATCTATTTCTGGATTTCTCCACTGATTTATTCAATTTCTCGTAGAAAACTACTGGCACATTTCCTTTTCATTCCGTCGTATAATACCTTTTCTTTTGTTTACATCTGAATAGCGTTGGAACACGGGAAGCTAAACTACGAGTGGCGCTATCAACATCAATGGTCATATTCCAGACAATGTGATGATCATCAAATCATTACTGCCGTTCACATGCCATGTTTCATCCAGTGAAACGTTCGATAGCAATGAGCGATTGTCATGGTTGATCTATACTTACGCGTTACTTCAGACATGCCCATGTACTTGGAACAGCTTGTTGGAGGGCAGCTGTAAGGGGCGGTTGGGGTGCCGACCCTGGTGATCCTGCTGTCCTTAGTCTGTCGATAATGTAAGCGGTATAGAGCTCTATTATTGACAGGACATGGAAGAAGGTAAAGAACTATATACAATTGTTGTATCTTATTTGCAACGAGAATAAGAATGAATAAGAATATACATGACCTGACAACCACCACCCATTCCTTACATATAGTGCTTAGTGCGCGACCTCTTCCGGGCATTGCCGGAAGGTTTGGGCTGGACTTGGTCAGGCCATGTGACTTGTTCCCACAAGTCACACTTCTTTCTTGTTATTTAATGGAGGTACGAGATTAAATTAGGCTTGTGTGCGGTTGGACTAAGTGCTCTTTTTTCACGCATGGCACATTACCCGGTGATGCCCTCATCTTATGTGCCGTACCCACTGTTGGCCTTACGCATACTGTGCCTTCCAAGGCTACAGTCATGCCGATTCAGGTTTTATTGCCACTGCATACCTGGGTCGATTTCTTTGGACGGATTCTGTACGTGTTTATTCGTCCACTCATGCTTCTGGGCTTTGGCCCTCTTATTCCTCATCCTCTGCTGAAGACATTTTTCTTTGTTTCTTTTTTAGTCTCATTTCTTTTGGCTTGAAAAGCGATGTTTGATGTAGTTTTCTCTCGGAGTCCCTTATTTCCGGTAAGCATTTCGGTCTCACTGAGCAGGGGGGGTGTTGTGACCTCTGGTTACTCTTGGTGGGTTGGATCCCAAGTGCTTACTCTAGTTTTTCTAGGTTTCTTTATTTTTGGTTGTTCCCTTGTTTTTGTAACCTCCGTTCTTCTCCTCCTTGTTCTTCCTCGTCCTTGTTTTTTCACGTTGCCCTCCTCCTTCCCCAATCTCCATCCTTGTAAATTACCTGGCTCGTCTTCAATTCCAGAGGTTCTGGCATTTGCTGGGACTGTCGCCATGCTATTCTATTGCATCTCCTCCAGCGTGCACACAAGTTTGGCTATTTTGGACTATCCAACAGTACTTGAATGTCATGATGTTAAACTTGTCAGCCTGATCAGTCAGGGGAGAGACCCTAAATTTTGCGTTGTTGTTCATACCCTTGGTGTTGTAAATGTGGTGTTCCAAATATGGCAACTGTCACATCCCAGAATCCCAAACCTGGAATACCCCACTCCCTCACACCACTACCACAGACATCACTATATCCCATCAAAGTTCACCCCACTCATCCACTTCAGTTCTGTTCCCACTGTCCCTGCTCCAGGCTAGACCTTGTCATTGACACACCCAACCACTGTCAGAGACCAGATGTGGGATGAAGGAGACATCTCCATGGTGGAGGGCTTTGGCCTCAGTGACTAAACCAGGAGCGCTGTGCCTAGTTACACATCTGTGCCCTAACTTACTAACTGTCAGGGACAGCTCCGAAAGCGGTGAGGTCCCAGCATGCAGGACTTGGTGGGACGAATAGTGGTTATGCATAGCAGTGGTCCCATCGCAGGGTGAGTGTCCCTGACCACTTAGTCTGAAGTGGGAATGTGAGTTATCATTAAAGGGGAGGACTACACTACTTGCCTGAAGTGGGAATGTGAGAAGAAGGCTACTTCTTCGGTTCCCACTCCAGCTGTTATTATATACATGTGGGGTCGATCACATGGGGTGCACCACATCACCCTCGCACACAGCCATGGCTCTCTGGGTGTCTCCATGGGAGATCCCGAGAGGGTCCATTGTAGGCATGAGGTGAGCGTGGCAGTGGTGACAGTGATATGGGGATGGTAAGATACAGGAGGGGGAATGGGCATGCCTGCCAGTGATACATTGAACAGCAGGAAAGGTGGTCCATGTAAGAGAGAGAAAGAGAGAAAGAAAGAGGAAAGAAAGAAGGAAAGGAAGAAGACATGGTGTGGAGTGGGGGTTGGGCAGGGCATGTCAGGGCATGCCCTGACACTAACTGGGGCCAGCCAGATAACTGACCATGCCCTGACACTGTGGGAAGATGAGAAGTTAACTCCCTTCTCATCTTCTTACCCACAGTAGGTTGTGCCTCAGGGGAGGCTGTCTACATGCTGGGTTGTGGGCCATAGGGAAGGGTCATGCAGACCTGAGAGTCATCCCCTGACAAGAGTGGAGGCAAGTAGTGAAGAAATTTCACGTTGCCCCGCGGGACTTACTCCGTGAGATCCAACTGAATGATACAGTTAAGGTCACAAGACAAGGACATAAAATCATGGACAAGCCTGGCATCGAAACCAGGACCTCTCAGTGTGCTACCATTACACAACTCGCCCGTTTGACCATGCCGGTATAGGCTGTTAAACTCTATACCGATGGGAACAGATATCCATTCTCCAACAAGTAGGAGGCCTCATACAAACACTTGGTAAGCCTAACTCTCAGGGTGACTACCCAGAGGAAGAGTAGCAAGTGGCAGTGGCATGACCAAGGGAACAGGGACAAGGAAAGACTCTGGATCCTTTTGCAATGGCATGGGGGGAGCTCCATACAATGGAGTTCCATCATGTAGAGAAATACTTGAGGTTCTTGTGGTTGGTGACGACATCGATTGGGGTTCCTGAACCTTCAAGGTAGTGACGCCACGATCGGAATGCATCGTGAATGGTGAGCAGTTCCTTATCATGGGTGTTGTAATTGAGCTCCAGCACCAAAAGTGTTCTAGAGCAGAAAGCGATGGGGCAAATCTCTCCATCATTGCAATGGATGGACAGGATTCTGGAGATCGTGTAATTGGAGGCATTGGTTTCTACAATGAGAGGGGCATCAGGTACCCAATGCATCAGGATGGGAGCTGACGTGAAGGCTTCTTTCAGAGTGTTGAAAGCAGAATGACAGTTGTTGGAGAATAACCAGGGGGCTCCTTTACATGTGAGGCACATCAAAGGGACCACAATGTTGGAGTATTGGTGGATGAAATGCTGATAGAAGTTAGCGAAGCCAAGGAAGGACTGGACATCCTTGACTTTAAGGGCTTGGGCTAATCTTGGACAGCTTTAACCTTCTTGATGGACATGGTGAGTTTGGAGGGAGAAAGGCAGTATCCGAGATATTCCATAGTGTCCATATGAAATTTGCATTTCTTCGGATTGGTGTATAGGCCATGTTTGCGGAGTCTCCTAAGAACTTCTCGGACATGCTCCTGGTGTGAAGCCATGTCTTCTGAGTAGGTAAGGATGTTGTCTAGGTAGACTACCACAGAAACGTCCAAGAGGTTGGCAAAGATTGTGTTGACGAATCACTGGAAGGCCGCAGGTGCATTCGTGAGACCGAATGGCATGACAAGCCACTCATAGGAACCATAGTGTTGAAGGAGCGGAACTGAGAGTGCAGTTTTCCCTGTTCCTGGTTGTGGGGGAGTGTACCTGTTGAGTATGGTGCTGTGTTAGTGTTTTGGTTGCTTTTTCAACAGTTTAGTGTGCTATAGAAAAATCAAACAATCAAACACCCTGCGGAGCTGTTCAAATAATTCTGTCTGTCTGAGCCGACTCTGGTCTGTTCAGCTCTCAGTCAGAATTCACCTAATTCTACCACTTTTTAGTTTAGGAAGTGATTACTCCTATGTGTGGAGAGATACTACTATTTTCTCCCTTCACACTGTCACTTTTTGTTCAGTAGTAACAAACTGCTTCTAAGTGTCTTACTTAGATGCCTATAAATCTCCTATCTCACTTATCACACTGTTGTTGCCTTTTGTACAGTGGCAAACTTAACTGTCTTATCACTTTTTCACACTGGAGTGAGAACCAGAAGTGCTTGAGAGAAATATTACTCTATTTTCTTACTTCTCTGAGGGGCTGCAAAGTGAGCGAAATCATGGTCCTTTTATACCTTTCAAGACCTTTCTTTCCCACGCTTTGCACTATTTACATGCAATAGAGTATTTACAAGCTTTTGTTCTAGAAAGTCCTAATGACTTGCCCAGATGACTTAGTCAGATATGACTCAACCAAAATGACTTGGTTAGATGTGATGGGGCTGTGTATGACTCAGTCTGAATTGGTTTCAGGCTGTGCATTTCTATTTTCAAGAAACGACTCAACCATATTATGACTCAGCTGGAAATGACTCCATCAGAAATGACTCAGTCAGGGTGTCATATAGTTCTGTCTAGAAAATATTTCTAGGTAGTTGTTCATAGGTTCATATAATCCATATAGTGTAAGAATGTGAGGAAATGTTCTTCAAAGTATGTTTTAACATAAACAGTCCAAAAAAAAAATGTCATAAAAATGTAATGCATGTTGGATCTGTTGGAATAACCATCAGGGATGGAGTAACCTCCCTGGCATAATGGGCGAGTAGTGTATGGATGCACGCTAGAGGTCCTGGGTTCGATACCAGGCTTGTCCATTTTATGTCATTTGTCCAGTCACCTGGTTTACCTCAGTTGAATTCATGACATAAGTCTATAGCGCTAGCAGTGTTGAATTTCTTCAGGATCCCCCTTGTTCCACAGCCATGGGAACATCTGGTGAATGTCCATGCACAGGGAAACTTGTGCCAAGACTGAGGCTGAAGTGTGGTCACCTTACCAGTTAAAGTGTTTAACTTGTCACATGACCTTCAACATGGTGTCGAATCCAAGTGATACACACAACCTTGATTAACTCCTTCAATTACTCTTTCCTCCCATTCCAACTTGCTATCATACAAGGGTCAAGTGTCCATGCATGTGAGGGTCATTCTTTAGTTGTTGATGATGTCCTCGGAACTTTCCCTACAGCGTGTGTGGAAGGAAGTCTTCCACTTGTCGC